GAGCTGACTTACAGCAAATTGCTCAAGAAATTTTCATTTATATCTGGACAGGATTTCTCTTTATAACACAAAATCAATGACATTTTCTTGTGTATACACTTCAGTTTATCAAAATGAAACTATATAAGAAATAAATGCCAAAATTAAAAAAAAATTTTCCCCTTAAGATAGAGTGGAGGCGGGAGAGAGAAACATCAATGTGAGAGAGACACATCGATGGTTGCCTCCGATACAACCTCGACCAGGGCCAGGACCAAACCGCAACCAGACTACATGCACATAACTGGAATTAAACACGAGACTCTCTGGTATGTGAGCTGATGCTCTAACCACTGAGTCACTGGCCTGAATCCTATCATTCAAAATTGAAGGAGAAATAAAAAGCTTCATAGACTAAAAAAAGCTAAAGGAATCTACCGCCACCAAACCAGCACTGCAAGAAATGCTGAAGGGACTGGCTGGATTGGCTCAGCGGTTAGAGCGTCAGCCTGCGGTCCAGAGAGACCCGGGTTCGGTTCCCACTAAGGGCACGTACCTCAGTTGCAGTTTGTCCCCGGCCCTGGTTGGTCGTGCGGGTGGCAGCCACTCGATGTGTCCCTTTCACGTCAATGTTTCTCTTTCTCTTTCTCCCTACCCCTCTATCTGAACAAAATATGGAAAAATGTCCTCGGGTGAGGATAAAAAAGAAAGCAAGAGAGAGAGAGAGAGAGAGAGAGAGAGAGAGGCAAAAATAAAAGTGGCAATTAATATGTATTTATCAATAATAACCTTAAATGTAAATGGCTTAAATTCTCTAATCAAAAGACATAGGGTAGCTGACTGGATAATAAAACATGACCCATATATATGCTGTCTACAAGAGACTCACCTCACAACATAAGACTCACACAGGATGAAAGTGAAGAGGTGAAAAAATATTTTCCAAGCAAATGAAAATGAAAAATAAAAGCTGGTGTAGCAATACTCATATCTGATAAGATAGACTTCAAAATGAGGGCCATAATAAGAGACATAGAAGGTCACTACAAAATATTAAAGGGATCGATCCAACACAAGAATATAACCTGGGTAAACATATACACACCAAAGATGGGAGACCAAAATATATTTAAAAACTTCTGGAGGACTTCAAGGTAGAGATCAATAGCATTAAAATCATAGAGGGTGACTTTAACACCCCACTGACACCACTGGATAGATCTTCTAGACAAAAAATTAACAAGAACACAGAGTCCTTAAATGACAAATTAGATCAGTTGGACTTAATTGATATTTACAGAACATTTTACCCCAAAGCTGCAGTATATGTATTCCTAAGTGTACATGGAACATTCTCAAAGATAGACTACATGTTAGGACACAGATTAAGTCTGCAAATTCAAGAACATTGAAATCAAATCAAGCATCTTCTCAGATCTCAATGGCATGAAACTAGAACTCAATTACAACAAAAGCATTCAAACACTTGGAGGCTAAATAGCATGTTATTAAACAATGAATGACTAACCAAGGAGATCAATGAAGAAATTAAAAACTTCCTGGAACCAATGAAAACAAACACACAACAACACAAAATCTATGGGATGCAGTGAAAGCAGTCCTGAGAGGGAAATTCATATCACTACAGGCCTACCTCAAGAAATAAGAAAAATTCTTAATTGACTTTTTAACCCTACAACTTAAAGAACTAGAAGTATACAAAAAGAAAAACCCAGAGCAAGTAGTAGGAAAGAAATAGTAAAGGTCAGAGTAGAAATAAATGACATGGAGACCAAAAAACCAATTCAAAAGATCAATGAAACAAAGAACTGGTTCTTTAAAAAGATAAATAAGATTGATAGACCCTTAGCAAGACTCACCAAGTAACAAAGAGAGAGAACCCAAATACACAAAATCAGAAATGAAAGAGGAGCTATAATAACTGACACCACAAAAATACAAAGGATTGTTAATAAATATTATGAACAATTATACGGCAACAAATTCAACAATCTAAGTGAAATGGACAAATTTCTAGAAACACATAGTTCCCTAAAACTGAACCGGGAAGAGATAGAAAACTTGAACAGACCAATAACAAGAAAAGAAGTTGAAGATGTAATCAGGACTCTCCCAGCAAACAAAAGCCCAGGCTTGGACGGCTTCACGGGGCAATTTTACCAAACATTCAAAGAAGAACTAATACCATTCTACTCAAACTATTTCAGACAATTCAAGAATAAGAAAGACTTCCAAACTCGTTTTATGAGGTCAGCATAATTCTAATTCCAAAACCAGAAAAGGACACTACAAAGAAAAAAAAAACTACTGGCCAATATCCCTGATGAACATAAATGCCAAAATCCTGAACAAAATACTAGCAAATCGAATCCAGCAATACATCAATGAAATTATTCACCATGACCAAGTGGGATTCATCCCAGGGATGCAAGGCTGGTACAATATTTGCAAATCAATAAATGTGATACACCACATAAACAAAATGAAAGATAAAAATCATATGATCATATCAATAGATGCTGAAAAAGCATTTGACAAAATCCAGCACCCATTTCTGATAAAAACACTCAGCAATCTGGGAATAAAGGGATCATATCTCGACATAATAAAGGCCATATATGAAAGACCTACAGCCAACATCATACTCAGTGGGCAAAAACTAAAAGCATTTCACTTAAGAACAGTAACAAGACAGGGATGCCCACTTTCGCCACTCTTATTTAACCGAGTACTGGAAGTCCTAGCCACAGCAATCAGACAGGAAGAAAAAATAAAAGGAATCCAAATGGAAAAGGAGAAGTGAAACCGTCATTATTCGCAGATGACATGATACTATACATAGAAAACACCAAAGACTCCATCAAAAATTTACTAGACTTAATAAATGAATTTAGCAAAGTAGCAGGGTACAAAATTAATGACAAGAAATTGACGGCATTCTTATACACCAATGATGAACTCACAGAAAGAGAAACTAAAAAAACAATCCCATTTACCATCTCAGACAAAAAATTAAGATACCTAGGAATAAACTTAACCAAAGAAATAAAGGACCTATTCACAGAAAACTATAGGTCATTGAAAAAAGAAATATAGGAAGATATAAAAAAGTACAGGCACATACCTTGTTCATAGATTGGAAGAAATAACATAATTAAAATGTCCATACTACCCAAAGCAATCTATAGATTCAATGCAATCCCCATCAAAATACCGACATACTTCACAGAACTAGAACAAATACTTCAAAAGTTCCTATGGAACAAAAAAAGACCTCAAATAGCCACAGTAATCTTGAAAAGGAAGAACAAAGTAGGAAGCATCACATTACCAGATTTCAGGTTATACTACCAAGCCACTGTAATCAAAACAAAAGTAAAAATAAACACACGGGACTATATCAAACTAAAAAGCTTCTGCATAACAGAAGGAACAACCATCAAAATGGAAAGGCAACCCACTATATGGGAGAGCATAATTGCCAACGATACATCAGATAAAGGGTTAATTTCCAAAATATACAGGGTACTCATACAACTCAACAAAAGGAAGACAAAGAACCCAATTAAAAAATGGGCAGAGGACCTAAAAGACACCTCTCCAAACAGAGCACACAAATGGCCAGGGACATATGAAGAAATGCTCAACATCACTAATCATCAGAGAGATGCAAATTAAAACAACAATGAGGTATCACCTCAAACCTGTTAGAATGGCTGCCATCAACAAATCATCAAACAACAAGTTTTGGTGAGGGTGTGGAGAAAAGGGGACTCTAGTACACTGCTGGTGGGAATGCAGACTGGTGCAGCCAGTATGGAAAACACTATGGTGTTACCTCAAAAAATTAAAAATTAAACTGTCATTTGACCAGTGATCCCACTTGTAGGAATATATCCTAAGAAGCCTGAAACACCAATCAGAAAAAATATATGTACCCCTATGTTCATAGCAGCACTATTTACAATAGGTAAGATCTGGAAACAGCCCAAGTGTCCATCATTAGATGAGTGGATAAAAAGGCAGTGGTACAAATACACCATGGAGTACTATGCAGCTGTAAGAAAGAAAGATCTCTTATCCTTTGAGAGGACATGGAGGGACCTAGAGAGTATTATTATAAGCGAAACAAGCCAAGCAGAGAAGACAAATATCACATGATCTCACTTATTTGTGGAATATAATGAATAAAACAAGCTGATGAACAAAATAGATCCAGAGACATAGAAGTAGGGTGCAGACTGACAAACCTCGGAAGAGAGGGTGGGGAGCTGGGGGAGGAAAGAGATAACCACAGAACTTACATACATGTATGCGTAACCAATGGACATGGACAATGCTGAGGGCGGGGCAGGGGGGGATGATCAGGAGGAGTATGTCAATGAAGAAAAAATGAGAAACATCTGTAACAAAATAAATAAATAAATAAAAATTAAAATTGAAAAAAAGAAAGAAAAGGAAAATAAATGATAATGAAAATAAACAACCACGAGCAATGTGGGTGAATCTCACAAACATGGAGTTGACTGAAAAGACATGAAGGAACACATGCACTAAGATTTCATTCATATAAAGATTTTATTAAGTAAATCTGAACAATACTCACACAGGAGCATAAATCATGAAGAAATGCAAAGAAAAGTTATTAGGGTTGTGAGGAAAGGACGGGTAGATAAACATTTTGGAGCAGTGGCAATATCCTTTATAATTTTGTATTAACACATTAATACATGTTTCCTAAGCTTTTATCTATTATGTAATATTTAGCAGTAAAAGGAAATAAAACAAGTAAACAAAAACCTTCTCCAAATAATGGCTGGGAGCAAAGGTTGTTTGCAGCTCAAGTAGGATAGCACAAATCACGTGGTGTGTATGGGCGGAGATGTGGATTCCAGCAACAGGACAGGAGAGTGATTGGAGCATAGAGGAGCAGGGCGGTATTTATTCCATGAGAGTTCAATCCAGTTTACAGAGAGCATCCTGGACAGTAGGGGAAGAACTTCTTAAATCCGAGAAAAGCCTCCGAGGCAAGTTTCCCAAAGAATAATGGGCACCCAGGGCAAAGTAAGCAAATGCACTATGTCTTTGTTCAATTCTTCTTTTTTGTATATATTTGCTAGAAGAAGCTTCCTTCAGAAGCTTCGATTCAAGCGACTCTCAGAAGGCATTCATTTAAAGTTGATCAAAAGCATCTCTAGTAATTAACTGAAGAAAATTACTTTAGATTTGCCATAATGCTTACCACAAGGGTGTAAAATTAAATATTATTTATAATGGCCAAAAAAAGCCCCAAAACATTTGGGTAACTATGCTATAACCATAAAATAGAATTAGCATTTGCTAAAACTATTGTTAGGGAAAAATGTGGAAAATAGTCATAGTGTATTAATAAGCAGAAAAAGTAGATTAAAAATATCACATACAATAAAATCCCATTTGGGGATAACTCAAAGAATTTACTTCATAAAATTATAGGCATATTTTATTTCTTTTGTTCTTATTTGTATTTTGAAATTTCCCATAATTTATATTGCATTTATAACTAAGACTAATGATATTTAAAAACATAGTTTAAAACTATATAACTACTATAAAAATATGTATTCATGTTATCAAAGACTAGGAAAAAGCAAAAATAGTAGCATTAGAATGGAGAATTATACGTTTGTTTCTTTCTACTTTCTTTCAATGTTACTCATATTTAAAAATGAAAAAGTAATGTCAACAGATTAAATAAAATTTTAAGTGTAGAATCCTGCTTAACTTATAAAATTAATTTAGAGTTCTGCTTAATTTCTTTTTATACATTTTTACCCAAATTCTTGAAAGACACCAAATTTTTATTTAATTTATATGCTACTGATAAATTTCATCATATTTAAGCCTCACTTCTGAAATGTTTGTGGGCACATGAATCACCTGGCTCTTGTTCAAATGCAGACTTTGCTTTAGGGGATTGGGACAGTGCTGGGAGCTGTCACAAGGGCCCTGGTGAGGTCAGTAGCTTCTGGTCCCAGGGAGCATCATACTATGACAGCAAACCTGTAAAAACACATCTATGGGCTAGCAATAGACACTCAGGTAATTCAGAGCTGATCACAAACTGTTCAGTCAACAAATACTTATTGGCCACCTACCCTGTCAAAATGCTATAAGTGTATCCTCTCTGTTGGCGATGGGGAGAAAAAAATCAAGGCATTATATTAGGGCAAACTGTAATGCACATTTTCTTTTCAAAAATTAAAAGTGCAATGACTATAATGTAGATCATAACCTCTTATTTTCAATGAATATCACTATTCTTTAAAATAATAAATTTATACATAAAATCCAGCCACAAACTCTATAACTCCTTTCATGAAATTATAGTATCAACATGCTTTTTCATCTGTTTCCCATATTATTCTCTCTTTCTCTCTCCCATGTTTTCTCCACTCCTCCCCCACCTCTCCTCTTCTCTCTGTCCCTCCCCCTCCCCCCCCCTCTCCCAGGTTATCAAATGCAAAGCAGCCATAGCCTGGGAAGCAGACAAGCCCCTCCGCATAGAAGAGGTAGAGGTAGCTCCCCCGAAGGCACATGAAGTTCGAATTCAGGTGAGTGGGGACTTTCCCAGGACAAGACAGACAAGGCACTAGGACAGTCTGAGCTTCTGTCTGGTCAGGCCTGTGCTGTGACCGGAACCCCTGGAGTTCCCAGCGTGGGGATAATATTTCAGGTTCAGATAAAAACAAGCCTTATCCCCAGGAGGGATCAATTAATCATTATTTATCCGTAGTTATTGATAATGAGCTTAAATTTTAACTAAAGTACTTTAACATCAATCATTAACCTTAAGAAATTCACATTGGGTTAGATTTAGTTAGGTTTTCATTTTGTTTTTCCAGTTGCCAATTACTGGAAAATATTGGAAGACAGAGAATGTGGTTTGAAACAAGGGAGTGGAAAAACTGAAGTGCTGCCCTGAGCAGCATAGGGCCCTGGTGCCTGGATGAGGGACCAGGAGTGGGTGAGCAGGGGGAAGAGCCCCCACTGCGCAGACAGAATCTAGACAGCAAGTGGGGATAATTCTCCACTGTCCCCAGAGCTGGCTGGCCAGGCTTGTGTCTTCCCTCCAACCACCACATTCACTGCACAGGAGAATGGATGGGATACCCTCACGAGCAGAATCTTGAAGAAGAAGAAGAAGAAGAAGAAGAAGAAGAAGAATACAAAGATACAGCAGTAATTAATTTAGATAATCTTTTACTTGATATCTCAACTTTTAACTATAAAATTTTTATTACCTCAATTTCATTTCATGTCGTTTCAACAAAATTTGAACAAGTCCTAGAAACCTGTATTCTTCCCATGCCCCCTGCCTATTAGACTTTGTTTATATTTTCCTTATGATTTTGATTTCTCCTCTTCTGGAGACAATAACTGCCAACTTTATCTCTTTTATAATTTTCCAATGACAGTAAAAGATAGAAAACAAAGGTATAAGAAGAAAAGGATATATTCTAATATATTTTTATTAGGCTTTTTTCAAAGTATTATTTGTTTTTGTGTTGAACTCTAAGAGTATTGTTATGTCTCACGATGATATTGGAATTATCCTAAAATTATTCACTAATAACCCCAATGATACATTACAGAAACGACTCAAGTATGCGGTTGCTTTGCAGATAATCGCCACTGCACTGTGCCATACTGATGCCCATATTATCCATCCTAAATTTATGGAGGCCAATTTCCCAGTGATCCTTGGCCATGAGGGGGCAGGAATCGTGGAAAGTGTTGGGCCAGGAGTGACCAACTGCAAACCAGGTATTTTATTTTCTGATTCCAATAAGTGGAAATGTCAGTATATCTCAGAGATAATTCCTGATATATTCCTGGCTTTGCGGGCCATAATCAATCTCTATTTACATAAGGGGACCATCTTTTTATTTATTTATTTATTTTTATTTTTTTATCCTCACCCGAGGATATTTTTCCATTTTTTGTACAGATAGAGTGGGAGGGAAAGAGAGGAAGGGAGAGAGAGAGAGAAACATCGACGTGAAGGGACACATCGAGTGGCTGCCACCTGCACAACCAACCAGGGCCGGGGACAAACTGCAACCGAAGTACATGCCCTTAGCGGGAACCGAACCCGGGTCTCTCCGGACCGCAGGCCGACGCTCTAACCGCTGAGCCAAACTGGCCAGGGCAAGGGGACCATCTTTTGTAAAGCAAAAGTGAGAAACACAATCTATCACAGCTGAACAATGAGACAAAATACTTGAAATCACTATTGTCTAGTAAAATGTGGGGCTATGGTCACTTTATTTACATATAGCACAGAAACTGTCCTATGAAGCCAAGTTGCAAAGTGAGATTAAACTGAAGCCTTTGTGGAGGCAGAAATGACAACTTATAACAACCTCCTCTAAATAAAACAGAAAACTAATTAAATATTATAAAGAATTCAAATAATGAGGTAGCTCATTGTATAGGTAACTTAAGTGAGAAATATTACACATATGCCAATGTTAGCTTAAGTATTTCTCGAGAGGTTTAAAAGATAAAAAATAATATGTAAATGAAACATACCAATGACTGAAATTACTTCAGATTTCATGACGGATCTGCCAATTACTGGAATATGGGCTATGTCATCCTCACTTGTCAGACAGGATGCCCATTTTCTTCTTTCTTCCTTTAATGAGAATGATCCAAGCTTTGAGGTATATTAGTGTCTTTCATTCCAAACAAGATCATAAAAACCAATTGTCCCTGAAAGTTTTGCATCCATGAAGGAGTCTGGCCAATGTACTTTCAGCTCTGGCTGTGTGACCTTAGCCAGTTAAGTCACTTTTCTGTTAGTCAGATTTCTGCTTTCTAAAGTGGGGACATGGGGTGGGAAGAGATAAACCAAAGAATTTATTTGCATATATGCATAATCAGTGGAAACAGACAATAATATGGTAAGGCAGGAGGGAGGTTGGAGTGGGGAGGAGGGAGTCATTGGGGGGCGGTAAGGAGTATATCTGTGATACTCTCAACAAAAAAAAACTAAAATAAAATAAAGTGGGGACAATAATAGTTCCCATCTCAAATGGTGGTTCTGAGAATTAGATGAGACAATACAAGTAAGCAGGTAGAATGGTGTCTAGCAGATACCAAATGTTGAACAAATGTTAGTTATTATTGGACCTTGGTCATCAAAGGATAGAAACCATTTTTATTGTTTATTTTTTTAATTCAGATAGAGTAGGAGGGAGAGAGAGAGAGAGAAACATTGACGTGAGAGGAACACCTCGACTGGTTGCCTCCTGCACGACCCCGGCCAGGGCTGGGGAGGACCTGCAACTGAAGTATGTGCCCTAGGCGGGAATTGAACTTAAGACCAATTAGTTAGTGGGCTGACACTCTACCACTGAGCCAAACTAGCCATGGTGAAACCATTTTTAAATAAGAATTGAATAAAAAGTCAAAAATGTGGAATCTGAGAGTAAAACATAGTGAAACACGGTGATGGTGCAAAGTTTACTCTTTATATCTAGCCTGTCACTGTCCAACTCTCCTCTATATAAGGATGTTCTATTTCCACACAGGTATTTAGAAATGTAATAAATAATAGTCATGATGTAGAAAACTGCCATGACAGGAGAATCTCAGGTAGGAATTTTCACCTGATGGGATCATATAGATTTGTTGCTTGACTCCCCAGTAGAGAAAACAAGAAAATGTGTATGTAATGCTTGGGGAAATCAGCCATCTCGTAGACTGACAAAATGCTGTAGCCACCTATACTTTGTGCTGAGCATAAAATATACACCATAAAGAATGGGATTTCCACTGATTCATCCAGTAGAAACTATTTACAGGTAACATTTATGGGCACCATCTAACATATGGTCTTTTTTTCTAGGTGACAAAGTAATTCCACTCTACGTGCCTCAATGTCAAAAGTGCAAGTTCTGTCTGAGTCCACTCACAAATTTCTGTGCAAAACTCAGGTAAGCTTTGTATACTGTTAGTAAGCATATAAATTGGTACAAATATTTTAGACAGTGCGTACATTGGCAATACCTAAATGAAGTTGAAGAGGTGCCTGCCTTCTATTCACCAATTCTACTCAGGTGTGTTCAAGAAACTTACAAAATCACTCAAGAAGACATGTGCTACAATGTTTATTGCAACATTGTTTATAATGGCAAACAATTGAAAATAGCACAAATGTCCATTAATTAAAGAATACATTAACAGAACGATTTTCAACCTTTTTCATATCATGGCACACATAAACTAATAACTACAATTCTGTGGCACATATAAATAGGTATTCTTGGCTGATCTGACAATAAAAATAGGTGTAATTTTGATTCATTCACACCAAATGGCTATTGTTGTGTTGGCTGTTGCCATTTTTTATTTGAGAAGCTAAGGGGAACGAGGTCAGTAGTCCTGACTAAATAGTCAGGTATTGCATGTTTTAAAAATTCCTGCAGCACACCAGTGTACCATGGCACTCAGGTTGAAAATCATTGGATTAAATTGTTATGTAACAACACACTAGATACTATATAATTATGAAAATGGCTAAACTTGATCTACATGTATCAACACAGAATACTGCAGTCCCCCTTATCCGTGGTTTCACTTTCCAAAGTTTCAATTACCCATGGTAAACTGTGGTCCTAAAATATTAAAGGGAAAAACCCAGAAATAAACAATTTATAGTTTTAAATTGCATGCCATTCTGAGTAGTGGGATGAAATCTTACTTCATCCTGCTCCATCCCACCCCGAAAGTGAATCATCTCTCTGTCCAGCGTAAGTGCTCCTTGCCTGTTAGTCACATAGTAATGGTCTTGGTTATTAGATCCACTATCACAGTATCTCAGCGCTTGTGTTCAAATCACTCTTACCCTACCTCATAATGGCCCAAGCATAACAGTAGTGATGCTGGCAATTCAGATACACTAAGAGAATCTGTGAAATGCTTCCTTTAAGGGAAAAGGTATGTATATATAGGGGAAAACATAGTATATATAGGGTTCAGAACTATCCAAGGTTTCAGGCATCCACTGGTGGTTGTGGAACGTATTTCACAGGGATAAGGGGGGACCACTGTGATCTCATACAAATAACGTTATGGGAAAGAAGTTGCTGACAGATATATTTAGTAAGGTGTCACGTACAAAAACAATATGATATCTTATTTATGGTTTCATATGTATTAGTAAAGGTACAATTACATCACTGGAATGATAAATGCCTAATTCAGAATAGCTGCTACTTCTACAGAAGAAGAGAGAGGAATGAGGCACAGTAAATAATTTGTTCTAAGGCCAAATAGATATGTCTTAGAGCTAGATTTTGAATCTAGGCCATTAGCTCCAGAGTCCAAAATCTTAATTACTTTATTCTTTATTAAGACTATAGAAAGATCTATTTGTCCTTAATGCTAATTGACCCGAGTTATGGTAGTACTCTTAGTACATCTATTACTGTGCCTCAATTTCCTCATCTGTGGTTGGGAAGAATAATAATGCCTGTTTCACCCGGTTGTGGCAGATGTTTAAAGAATTAATACATCTTTTTGCAAACCTTTAATGAAATAACAGATTTGGACAATGACCATCAATTGTTTCTGACATTACAAATAGATAGATAAGGTATAATGTGCCTCCAAATGAAAATACATAACACTAACTTTGAAGTGCTCCTACAAAAATATGAAACCCAAATCAGATTAAGCATTGAGGTAACAAATACTAGAGGAAATTTGGGAATGGAGAAACGTGTTAAGCCAGATTATAGCAATGCGATCGGAAAAATCCAGAATGAGGAAAACCCTACAAAATGAGGGCCAATGACTGTTTCTTCAAAATATAAACTGCAAGGGGAAAAAAAGGGTGGAGGTGAGAATCTGTATATTAAAAGAAGTTTAAGAGATATATTAACCACAGCAATGTGTAGACTTGTAAGAATTTTTATCTTTTAGACGTACATACTGAAATATTTACAATGAAATAATGATGTCTGGGATTTCCTTCAAGATAGTGCAAAATGGGCAGAGGGCATGGGGGATGGAGGTAATAGATGAAACTAGATCAGCTATGATTTGCTAATTGCTGAAGCTGAGAGATGCTTACAAGGAGATTCATTATGCTATACTTTCTACTTTTATATTTGTTTAAATTTTTCATAATAAAATTTTTTAGAATAATTAATACATGTAAAGCCCTTAAAAGAGCTTCTGGCTTATAAAAAGCATTCAATAAATAGTTTATTCTTATCATCATTATTATCTTTAGATAACACCTGACCATTATATCTATTATATCATGTATTATATTATACATATTATGTATATATTCTATACATTATTTATATTATTTATACTATATATTATAATATATTTTATATAATAAATTATGTTATTTATATAATATATAAGTACAAAATGTATTTTATATATATTCAATATATTTTTGGACAAAATATCCCAAGTCATTTTCTCACTTTCAACATATTATAAAATTGTCATAACTAATATATAACTCCTAACTTTTTTTTCTGGGAGAGTAACCAATAATCCATTTATTTTCTCTCTCTATTTTTTTTTTTTTAAATTTTCTAGTCAATTCAAAAATCCTCTTGTTCAGCAAGAAGTAATGGCAGACAAAACCAGCAGGTTTACCTGCAAAGGAAAACCCGTTTACCATTTCATGGGGACCAGTACCTTCTCTCAGTACACTGTCGTATCAGATATTAATATTGCCAAAATAGATGATGATGCAAATTTAGAGAGAGTCTGTCTGCTTGGATGTGGGTTTTCTACTGGCTATGGAGCTGCAATCAACACGGCCAAGGTAAATGGTTAATCATCAGAATCTATAAAATAGAAGTTATTAGGAGGCAGCATGGTAAAGCAGCTAGAAGTGTCTTCAAACCTGGCTATGCCGTGTATCACCTCTGTGATTTGAGGCAAGTCATTTAACCTTTCTGCTACCTCTCTATAATAATACTTACTACAAATTACTGTGGGAATAATTAAATCATATTACATGTGTAAGACAGCTGGCTCACTGGCTGGCGTATAGTTGGCACCCAATTCATGTTTATTTCTTTTCCTATACTAGTGTATTATATTGTAGACCACCCTAATTTAAATACAACCTGCTTAAATATGTCCCCTAATGTTGTCCTCATCCTGGGACAGCAGACCCAGTCAAGAGACAATGGAAACTGCAGAGACCCCACCCATCTCCACGTGGCCACTCCTGCTTCCTCCCTGATGCACAGAGGGGTGCCGCTCTTGGCCATCAGCATGTAATCTCCCCCTAAAACACCACTTGTTCACTCACTCACTCACTCACTCACTCACTCATTCATTAGTAAAAATTAAGAGTTGTATGGGAAGCCAAACTACAACCTGAAGGTTCTTGGAGGAAGGGTGTTAGTTGGGTGGATTTAACAGTCTATGTGACCTTGGCAGTCAAGGCACATTATCCTGTAGATAGCATTCAAGTCTCAGGAAAGAATCATCGCTCTCTGGGCTACACATATCTCCTTTTCTGGACTCCATTCAGACTCTCACCTTCTACCACTATAATCTCTTTTCAGGAATATTAACACCAGTAATTCAGCTATAATTTTCTTTTAAATCTAGTCAAAGTTGATCTAAATTCCCTTGACATATTCTTCCCACTGTTGAGGAACAATTAAACGACTACAGGAGATGTTCAAAGAAGAAAAATAACTCATAGGATCAGGTAAAGGGAAGAGAAGTATCAGTCATTGGAGACAAAAGGCAAGGTCCTGAATAAAGCTCAGTTTACTTCCGGGAAGAAAAGTGATGCAACAACTCTGTATAATTGTTGGGGACCTGCCACAGCATCACCAGAACCTCTCATTCTTTTTTCTTAATCCTATTCTTTAGGATATTCTTTCCATTGATTTTTTTATTATTTATTTATTTTGTTTTTTATCCTCACCCGAGGACATTTTTCCATTTTTTGTTCAGGTAGAGTGGGAGGGAGAGAGAGGAACAGAGAGAGAGAGAAACATCGATGTGAAAGAGACACATCGAGTGGCTGCCACCCGCACGACTGACCAGAGCCGGGGACAAACTGCAACCGAGGTACGCGCCCTTAGCGGGAACCGAACCCGGGTCTCTCAGGACCGCAGGCCGACGCTCCAACCGCTGAGCCAAACCGGCCAGGGCTTTCCATTGATTTTTAAAGAGAGTGGAAGGAAGAGAGAGAGAGAGAGAGAGAGAGAAAGAGAGATATCAATGTATCAATGTGAGAGAGACACATCGATTGTTTGTCTCCCACACAACCCAGACTGGAGTCGGGGATTGAACCTGCAACCGAGGTATGTGTCCTTGACCGGAATCCAACTCTTGATTCTTTGGTCTGTGGGCTGACAATCTAACTACTGAGCCAAACCAGCCAGAGCAAAACCCATATTCACTTTAATTTGCTTATATGCATTACTGCCAAATTAATCACATTACATGAAGATCTTTGGAAGTATGAAAATGGCCTGTAACAGTGTTCTCTGCAGATAGAAAATTAAAGGGGAAGGGGTATTTTATAGTGACCACCCCATCACTGCAATCAAAAGCACTTTTACACTCAGGGGTCTGGTTATATGACAATATGTGTGCAGTGTATTCAATGTATACATTGCTGTGAGCTGGCCTGAGAATCCAGCTGCTGAGTACAACATTGCTGTAACAGGAAAATGCATTTCTATTTTCAATGAGACAGGCAAGCTTTTTAACAAAATTGCTAGAGAAATCTATTTGGAAATAAACTAAACATGCACTATAATATTATACTAAATAGTATAATGTATATAAAACAATATTCTAGCCCTGGCTAGTTTGGTTCAGTGGTTAGAGCGTCGGCCTGCGGACCAGAGTGTCCCAGGTTTGGTTCCCGCTAAGGGCACACGCCTCGGTTGCAGTTTGTCCCTGCCCTGGTTGGGGTCGCATGGGTGGCAACCACTCGATGTATCTCTCTCGCATCAATGTTTCTCTCTCTCTCTTCCCCCCATCTCCCTCCCGCTCTATCTGAAGATAAATGCAAAAATGTCCTCTGGCGAGGATAAAACAAAACAAAACACAATATTCTAAATATTTACCAATAAATTTTTATTTACCCTGAATAGCAAAAGCTAGTATATACATACCCAACATCAGGCATAGAGTAAAATGCCCATTCTCTGTATTTCATAGTAACTTTGTTTCCTATTTAGAATGTATCAGTACTTCTTGTGGGTAGATTTTTTTTCTTTCCCTTTTGTTTATGTCTTTATTTAAACAGTTTCCCTTCATCATTAGAAAATATTAGTAAGCATCTCCCCATGCAGTATATTTTTGACACTATCTCACTCTACAGAGTAACATTCCACTTGGCACTAGTTTCTGATTGAAGAATCAAGTCCAGTTTTGTGTAGAGAGTGTTATTTAAGTCAGGCCAAAGATACTTCATTATTTCATATTTCATTAAAGAAAATAAGGTGGAAAGCACAGCAGGCGGAAGGAACAGCATGAACTAAGACATGAGGAAAAGAAAGTGTGACAGTTTGTTGTCGCTGTAGTACTGAATACATGGAATGAAATTGGATGGTAACAGGAGTCAGATAATAAAGTCTTTGCATGCCATGCGAGAAAATTTGGGTCTCGTTCCATCTAAACAGATTGATAATTGGGATGACTGAGTTAATTCTCATTTAGAGAAATATTAGTGGTCATTCAAACTGTAACATGAATACAACCAAATAAAGCTTATTAGAAATATAGACAGTAAATTACTTGTGGATCTATTCTAAAGGGCAAACAATGAACCCTTTGTGATGTGTGAGCTTTAGAACTTTGCTCTGCTAACACTAAAGGGAAAAGAAAACAAGGAGATGATTTCCACCTGGGCTTGTTCCTTATAAACTGATGATCCTAATGGCCCTCAAATGATTCTCCAAATTCAGTCAGTGACTCTTCCATTGTCACACTGGTCATTTCCCCACGTGGCTGTATCACTCAGTCTTATCACAGGCAGTCCTTATGTGTTGTTCCTGCACCCACCTCACTCTGTACCTTGAAAAAAGTGGGACCAGCTGCTTTAAGTTAACTTACAAATTTCCTGCCTGCAGGTGACCCCAGGTTCTACTTGTGCCATCTTTGGCCTGGGAGGCGTCGGCCTTTCTGCTTTAATTGGTTGCAAAGTTGCAGGAGCTTCCAGAATCATAGCTATTGATATCAACAGTGAGAAGTTTGCAAAGGCCAAAGCCCTTGGAGCTACTGACTGCCTCAATCCCAGAGACCTCCAGAAACCCATCCAGGAGGCCATCATTGAAATGACCAATGGGGGTGTGGATTTTGCATTTGACTGTGCTGGTGGATCTGAAACCATGGTATGTACATTTTTTATAAGAGTATATAGTAAGTACTACTTATTGACATTCATAAACCTTGACAGTATGAATATATGACTATACTTTTCATATTTAATTTAATATATTTATATGTGCATAAATTATATATTTATATGACAAGCAATGTTGACCAATAATATGTTCAATATTATTTAGTATATTATAATTTATACTTAATCCATTAATATATATTACTGATTACTATTCAATATTTATGTTATTAATATTTCTGTTTATTCTTCCACATGAAATTCTGAGACAATTTAGAAATGTAAAATTTTAAAGAGGAGTAAGAGAACGTGACTGGTGTCATCCTACAGCCTAAGGTTCCCACTCCCATAAAAGGCAGAGCAGGGAGAGGCCCGCAACCTACACACAATCCAGTTCTCTCCGTCAGACCTCAGTAAATGGGCTGCAAAATTAGGTCCAAATTACATATTTGAAATTTTCAACACATGAAATACACACACACTGCAAAACTAAAAAGTAAATCTCTTCTTCCTAAATACTACAATCTCCTCTCATTCGGATGTCTTCTCCTCTCCGGACGGGCTCCCTGACCCGCAGGGCCCATGGAGCCAGCCCTGTCTATTATCCTACTCCGGAAAGTGCCAGAAAGCAGGAGAGACAGCCGCACAGGCAACACATGGAAAAGTTAACTGGCCAGAGTGCACAGGCTTATTACCCAGCACATATCCATTTAATGCCCTTTGCTCGAAAACTCTAAGTAGAGGTTTGTTTGGTTTTGTTTTGAATGAAACGACAAAAGAATTCATCAACTACGTTACCTGCCTAGAGGTCCTTCTTATTTCATTGGTGAAAGCTGTGAAGTGTGCTGTGTCCTTTTATTTACACCTTCACACAGCCTGGCGCCTGGCTCCCTCCTCTGGGGCAGGCGAGGACATGAAGTCTAGGCTCTGACTGGAGCAGGCTCTGCTGGTCCTTCCCTGTGGTCCTCAGTGACCCGTGAGTTCCCCAGAGGAGAGTGGAGACCGGGAAGAGCTGCTGAGAGCAGCAGGCTGCGGGCCTGGGTCTTTCCTCCCAGAATCCTTCCGTTGTAACAGGATACGTGTTGGAAAGAGGATCTGGAAGATGATGAGCGCTCGATAAAGGTTGGCCCTTGCTGAAGACCCCTGCATGGCGAGCTCCCTGCCCTGCCCTGCTCCCCCGTGTTCAGAGCTCAGCCCTGCGCTTTCTCTTGTCCTGGCACTTGCCGCTGGTGTGCGCCACACCCACCCCTCCTCCCCCCACAGCTCAACTGTTTTACAAACCCTGAAATGCAGCCTATTTACCTCATTTCCCTGGTACAGATTTTCTCAACACTGGCTCTACTTTATAAATGCCTGGGCAGTTGTTGCTGTTAGTGCCAGTGAATGGACCACACCTTAGGTACTCTCATGAGTTAGGGGCCCAGGTGTCCATAGAGTGTCCACGTTTCTCAAGTTGAGAACCACTGACCTAAAACTGGGTTAGTTCTATTTTTCACTGATTTATTATACCAAGAAATGTATTTTAAATTAAGGAATAGAATTACACTAGACTACCCCAATTTTAAGAGATGTAATTTATTTTATTGTAAAAAGATGAGCTAGCTACCTACTCTTTCACCATAAGTTTCTATAACTAGGGAAAGTTAAATTTCTGGGTTGTAGAGGAGATTCCAGTAATGTTATGAATTGGCTTTCAATGAGATCTCATGCCCTAAAGCAGCCTAAAGAAAACAACAGAACAATTAGAAAGGTACAATAATGGACAATTTTATAAGATTTTGTGAATTCAAAACAAGTCTCATTAAAAGTTAACAGAGGCTACCAAATAAAATCCTGAATTTGCATATAATACCCACTTAACTACGTCATCATTATGGAGTTTAATTCTTTGCTTGGAGCAAAGCTCAGAAATGCAGAAAATGCAATAGTATAAACATTTAAAAAGAGAAAGCCAAAAATCTATGTAAGTAGCGACCTTGAGGTGACCAGTAGTACCTGTGGGTCTTTTCCTTTCTTCACGAATCTACGCTGTGTACAGAAACAAAAATAGTTCTGCCATATAAAAATTGCAAGAAATAGAAGAGTTTCCATTTCAAAATGTTAGAAATTCTCAAAACTATAAACACATAATCCAATAAAAATTTCAATACATAATTTTAAATCTAGGTCATTGCATGTTCTGTCACGAATAAATAACAGAGAAAGAAGATGGAGAGAATTTCTAGTATTTCAAGTGCCTTCTTTCATATGGAAAAGAACTATACTTCCTATTGGAACTCCTGTAAAAGTAAAAGTGCCCCAATGGGTCAGAATCAAGTTGCCCCCTGACTACGGCAAGGAATATGGGACAAAGTTTACATTTGTCTTGTATAATACTAGTCTCAAAACATTTTATTTTTTAAAATTAATTATTTTATTTACTAATTTGTTTTTGTTACAGATGTTTCTCATTTTACCCCCATTGACACCCTCCTCCTCTTCCCCCCCTGCCCCATCCCCAGCTTTATTGTCTATGTTCATTGGTCATGCATACATGCATGTAAGTTCAGTGGTTTATCTCCCCCGCACCCCCAAGTCCCCCTCCTCTGAGGCTTGTCAGTCTGTACCCCACCTCTATGTCTCTGGGTTAATTTTGTTCAGCAGTTTTTAGTTCATTATATTCCACAAATAAGTGAGATCATGTGATATTTGTCTTTCTCTGATTGGCTTGTTTCGCTTAGCATAATACTCTCCAGGTCCTTCCATGCCATCTCAAAGGATAAGAGATCTTTCTTTCTTATAGCTGCATTGTATTCCATTGTGTACATGTACCAAAGCTTTTTTAAAAATTTAATTAATTAATTTATTTTTGTTACAGATGTTTCTCCTTTCCCCCACTGATTCCCCCCTCCCCCTCCCTTCCTGCCCTGTCCCCAGCTTTGTTGTCCATGTCCATTGTTCATGCACACATGCATATAAGTTCTGTGGTTTATCTCTCCTCTACTACCCCCTCTTCTGGAGATTGTCAGTCTGTACCTCACTTCCACGTCTCTGGGACTACCTCGTTCCTCAGACTGTTATGTTCATTATATGCAACAAATAAGTGAGATCATATGATACTTGTCTTTCTCTGTTTGGCTTCTTTCACTTAGGATAATACTTTCCAGGTCCCTCCATGTTGTCCCAAAGAATAAAAGATCTTTCTTTCTTACAGCTGCATAGTACTCCACTGTGCATATGTACCACTGCTTTTTTATCCATTCGTCTACTGATGGACATTTGGGCTGTTTCCAGATCTTAGCTATGGTAAATAGTGCTGCTACAAACATGGGGGTATATATATTCTTTCTGATAGGTGTTTCAGGTTTCTTAGGGTATATTCCTAGAAGTGGGATCACTGGGTCAAATGGCAGTTCAATTTTAAACTTTTTGAGGTAATACCATAATGTTTTCCATAGTGACTGCATCAGTCTGCATTCCCACCAGCAGTGTACTAGAGTCCCCTTTTCTCCACACCCTCGCCAACACTTGTTGTTTGATGATTTTTTGATGGTGACCATTCTGACAGGTATGAGGTGATACCTCATTGTTGTTTTAATTTGCATCTCTCTGATTATTAGTGGTGTTGAGCATTTTTTCATATGTCTCTTGGCCATTTGTATGTCCTTTTTGGAGAGGTGTCTATTTAGGTCCTCTGCCCATTTTTTAATTGGGTTCTTTATCTTCTTTTTGTTCAGTTTTATGAGCACTCTATTTTAGAAATTAACCCCTTACTTGATGCATCATTGGCGATTATGGTCTCCCATGTAGTGGGATCCCTTTCTGTTTTGATGGTTGTTTCTTTTGCTGTGCAGAAGCTTTTAAGTTTGATGTAGTCCCGTGTGTTTATTTTTTCCTTTGTGTCTCTTGCCTTAGGTGTTGCATCAGTGAAAATTCTGCTGTGTATGATGTGTGAGATTTTGTTGCCTACATTTTCTTCTAGGATTTTTATGGATTCATGAGTCACATTTAAGTCTTTTATCCATTTTGAGTTTATTCTCATGTATGGTGTAAGTTGGTGTTCTAGCTTCATTTTTTTTTGCAAGTAGCTGTCCAATTTTCCCAACACCATTTATTGAAGAGACTGTCTTGACTCCACTGTATGCTCTTGTCACCTTTGTCAAAACAAAACATTTTAACTGTCTACCTATTAATTCATAAGGCTTCCATAAGTGAAATGTCCATTCACAAATTTATATCATTTTAAAATTCATTTACATTTTCAATCTTTGAGAGTTTTATCTGAATCCCAAACTTGCAGTAGGCTAAAACGATAGTGTTTTCTCTTTCTTTCATGCAAAGATCAACCCAACTCCCCCAGGCCACTATCTTCTATGACATAGAATCTATGTGGTGAGTCACTAATCAAGGAAGTTCAAGTTTGTGACTTTACAATCTCAACATGAAGTCCTCTGTGTGTTACAGCAGAAGGGACAACTGGCAGGTCACACACCAGCTTTTCTGTTTGGGGTAGGAAATGACACACATCACTTCTGCCCAAAGCAAATTGGCCAGAACTAGTCACATAACTCCACCTAACTGGAAGACAGTTTAAATTAAAACATGTAGGGTAGCAGATGAAATGTTTCATGAGCAATAGCTGGTGTCACTTTAACTGCTTTGTCCTCCATTTTCAATGGCATTTCTTTTCATTTATCCTACATTGAGATCCACTATTTACAGTGCCTCATCCCAGGTCTTGTGAGTAATCACCCTCTCTTCACTACTTTAAAGATTTTTATTCTATGTTCCTAAAATTGCAGACATTTTAGTATATACCCCTGGAAAATAGTCAAAAACTTGCTGATTTGAGTTTACAATATCTTCAATAGATCTTTCCTAACTTCCTTTTCTTGATACACAATGATATATACATTCTAGGTTCACCATAACTATGGTATTAAACATGATAAAATAATATGTTCTGTTTTTTCTAATGTCATTTATGATGAAGCTCAAAATTTTATTGAATGTTCTATCTGAAACAAAGCTCCAAGTCTCCACCTATAACACTGTGACCTCATTAGCTTGACTTTCATTCTCTCATTTCAGATTGTATAAATTTTTCCTAAAATACAGTACAAACCCACACTGAAGACATGTTCTACTTTCCTACTTACTCAGCTAGTCTTTTTGGTTTGACCTTCCAGAAAGCAGCCCTGGACTGCACAACAGTAGGCTGGGGATCCTGTACTCTCATTGGAGTAGCCATTGGTGACAAAGGACTGACTATTTCTCCAATAGAGATAATAATGGGCCGAAATATCAACGGAACATCATTCGGTGGTCAGTTGTTTTTTTCTTTTAATTTTCTCTATAGTAGTACTCAAATTCTTATAGTGAAAATTATTGAAAGGAAAGGAATATAACTTGTTTAAATATTGAGTGCCTAGAATACATCTAAAGACTACATAAAAGCAATTCTATTAATTACTCGAAAGTAAACAGAGTTTGAACAGAAGGATAACTGCGATTTGCAATTTGAAGTTCAATTTCTGTGAAAATGAACCAACATAGAGGAACAAAAGGCAACGTGGACCAAACAGAGATAATTTCTTATCTAGAAACAAAAAATAATCTGGAATTTTCCCTATGAAGAAAAATTTTAAAGAAGCATAGAAAATTGAATATGGGAGGGGGTTTAATCTATTTGGAGCAAGCCAGATCTCACCATGTAATTTAATTCCTGCAACAAACACTGATTAAACTACCTGTTCATGTCAAGCCCATGTCTTCATGTAGATTTTTGGCCAAATTACAGGTTGGAAAGGTAGAGATTCTGTACCAAAGCTGGTTACTGATTACAAGAATAAGAAATTCAACCTGGATGCATTGGTGACCCATACCCTGCCTTTTGAGAAAATCAATGAGGCATTTGACCTCATGCATCAAGGAAAAAGGTAAATTACCAAACAGATGGGTAAGTGGTTTGAAAAAGCTTGTTGATGGTTCTATTTTTATTTGATGTTAAAAACAAATCAGTTTTTTTTCTGACCTTTTCCACATCATCAGACATACTTATAGGTACTTAAAAGATGAAGTAGCGGCCATGGGGGGGGGGGGGGGGCGGTAACCAACATCATCTACCTTCCTACTCTGTTTCCATAAGTACACTGCAATACACTTCTAACATACAGTGGTGGTATAAACTGAAGCAACATTTTTTCTTTCACAAACAACTGTCCACTTATTTGGGGGAAGCTCCCTAGAAAGAGGAGTTTCTCTGGTCCCCCTCGCACGATACAAGGTAAGGCAAAAGTAGGTTTACATTTGTCAGCACGTGAAACACAGTTTATTCTTGTATGATCATTTATTAATTATTGTATCCTTTTCCATTCGAACAACTGTCAATCTACTTTCCCCCCACCCTGTATAGTCCTGGTTCTGGAATCATTCTGTTCTGCAATTTGACAAGGAGTGCACACTGCAGGCCCTTCTTAATCAGAATCAGGTGAAAACCACAGAGATGTGAGCGCTGAATGGCAGGTTATCAGATACATAAAGGATGTTCCAACTCTCATTCACTTGCTTTGTCATGTGTTTCCTATAGGACACATCTAAGCCACAATTTTAGATCTATTGTGCTTCCTTAGCATGGACCCTGAGAACTGATTTATAGAAATGTCCCAACTGAGGGATCCTTACCAACTGGAAGTGGGTAAAGCTAGGATCAGTGGCTTTGGTTAAAATAATCAAGCACAGCCTTAGTCAATAGAAGCAAAGAACAAACCATCAGGAACAATGTTGCACAGAGGAGATGCAGGACAAAAAAATCGAAGAAAAGAGAAGATATTACAAAAGAGAGGGGGGAAAAACTAAAATTAAATGAAAGCAAAGAAAAGAGAAGATATTACAAAAGAGAGGGGGGAAAAACTAAAATTAAATGACAGGAGTTGGAAGCAGAGAAGTAATGTCACAAAAGAAGAAAATAAGTCCATGCTGTGAGGACCCAGGCTACTGCATGGGGAAGAAACCTGTGAAAATGTCCCCACTGACGGACATGAACTCCCTAATTTGAAATATGTTAGCTACAACATATCAAAAAGAAGTTCAATAAAAAGAAAAGAAATACACATTATTTTTTAGGCTATGCTAAGTATGTTAGTGCATAAGCCCAACAATGTCTTTCACAATCTTAAAATTCCTGTATGCCTCAAATTAGGAGTTGTTTGTGTTTGTGACCTTGGACCTTGGTGCTCATAGCTCCTCCACAACTATCCATTTGCACCTAGAACTCTCAGATATGGAATATACCCAACAAGAATGCTAAGTGGCAGGCAAATAGAAAATGTTGCATTGCTTTATTAATAACTGGTCAAGTCTCCCATACTCTTAAAAAAGGTCTGGTAATCACTGATAGAATGGAGGCATAGGGGAAACACCTAAATGAGGCCTCCTACTCTCTGGCCCACTGAGAAGACCACCTGACTGCCCACACCGGTGGAAAGGTGGCAACAGAAAAGGCAGGGGATGGGCCTTCCCAGGTATGCTTACTATATGTGTACAGGAAACAATCGAGTACAGGCCCTCTTGCCATACAACTGCACAGAAGTGAGGAAATGGAGGAGAGGAGATGGAGAAGAACATCAATTGGCCTGGTAAGGTGCAGTGACCCGGACTCCTGGTGAGGAAAGGACACAGAGCTTCTCCCTCCACACAGTGGTGCAGTCTCCAGTCCCTGGGTGAAGAAAGCATGCATGCGTGGCAACCCACAGCTCCAGCAGGAAGGTCTGAGATAAAGAATTCTCTGTCCTAGAAGCTTGTCCCCCATTTTGCTAATACATGCTGAAGGACTTATTCAGGAGAAGGAATGTTTGAGTTCTCAGAAAGTAGCATCCCGACACATCAACCTCTTTTACGTCCAATTTGCCCTTGGCTATAGGAGAGCCAAGAGCAGGGACAGCTTCAAGATGAAAACGTCACTACAACAATGGATACACTACTTCTCCACAGCACCGCTAGGCAGCGACGTCCTCAACTGGGGACAAGGAGGGCCCCCAATTCTTCCCCAGCTTATTGGTATTATAAATACAGTATTATTAATGCCAAGAATGGAACAGGATAACAAGATAAAATAAATTAGGCTTACCAAATTGTGTCTATAAAGAAAGATTAAATCAAATCTTGAAATAAATAAACAAAAGTTATTTGTGGGTTTTAGTTAAATTTTTCATGAAAATTATACTGATTTTTAAAAATATATATAATTATTAACAGCATTCGAACAATCCTGATCTTCTGAAGAAACCAGGAACAACTTGGAAGACTGTCTGACTGACTCTGAACCTGTCTGGTTGATTTATAATCTGATATGATGAACCAAGGATCACCATGAATTTCAACAAATATTTACAGCTAACATCTCAACATCAAATATCTATAAAGATCATAGCACTTGTAATATAATACATTAATATTGTGTTAATTAACTGATAACTGATGTATTTATGAATAGAAATATATGATGTTTGGGAATTGTTTAAAACTACTTCTGAAGAAGTGAGAGTAAAGAATAAAGGAGTAAAAAAAAAGTAGGTTGGCTACATGTTCACTATTTTTTAGTTTGGGTGATACATATATAGGGCTTCAGTATACTTTTCAATATGTTTAAAATTTTTCATAATAAAAAATTTTACTAGAAAAAATCACATGTATATGTATAAAAGGTACATATGTCTTTAAGATATATATCACATATATAAAGCTGTTACATAATTTCTGAGTTCCAATAAGCTACAAGCTACTCTTCTTAAATAAGCTGCTAAATAATTTCTTTTGTAACATCTGTTCATTTCTTTTACTTCGCCCCACTTCACCTCTGTGAAGTGTAATCACAAGAAGTAGGATACCAGAAGCTATATCAATAAATAATATGAAATTGAAGATTTTATAAAGGAAAAACATCTATACTCTCAAATTTCCACCTTTATTAGATAATTGCCCTTTTCATCATTGATAATTATTACAACATATAATGTTTAGATCTATACGAAGTTTAATGATCTGTATTTTGCACTAAGTAATCTATTTTCTATAGTCGACTAAAAGTGAAAGCAATGTACTATAATAAAGTAATGTAAGCAAAATATTTTATAGCTACAAGATTTAACAGAAAATAAGATTTATATGAAAAAAGGTGAGAGTTTTCAAACTATTACACTCATAGATCATAGATAGTAGATGAACAGTATACAAATAAGACAGATAATCACTTGGATTAAAGTAACAAAGACTAGTCCTCAGTTTAACATAATTTCTGAAACCTGCCAGTGTTTTAAAAATTGCCCTCTGAGAAAAGATCAGCTTCTCTGGAGCTGTGGCTGCGGAGGGTGGTGACACAGGGGGCAGTTAGAGAAGAGCAGAAATGACAGGCCAGGGACAGAAGGTCACCAAGGCAGAAAGCCCTGGGTGCTTACCAAGTGGAAAAACTGGGCTGGGCCCTTGCCTCCAGGACATTTCTCCCCTAGCGTATCACTAGTCGTGCTGTTTAGATCCCCTGACCTTTCATACCACTTGTTATGTAGTTTGGACCCTCCCCTGACCTTTCCCCACTGGTATATCGATTTAGAATGAGGGGGTAAGAGAATAGCCTCACAGGACTCCCCACACAAGCCCTTGCATAATCACTCCCTTAAACATTCAACCATCAGGGTCATTAGATTCTGGCCCAGATCAAATAATCTAAAGAACAAAGCCTCAGGTCTGTTGACCACTGAGCCAGAGCTTTGATCTAACTAGAGATGACATCCAGGCCTCAGTTGTGTTTCAGCTGCGGGCCCAGAAAAGCAGCAAGGTCAGGCAGGGCAATGCAATGGCTGAATCCAGATCAGCTGCATGTTCAGATTGGCTTCTTTCACTTAGTCATATGCATTTAAGATTCCTCCATGTCTTTTCAGGGCTTGATAGCTCATTCCTTTCTGGCATACAATAGTATTACATTGTTTCAATGAACCAGTTTATTTATCCATTCTTCCTATTGCTCCCAAGTTGTGGCATTTCTGAGTAAAGCTGCTATAAATATCCATGTGCACATTTTGGCAATTATCAATAAAGCTGCTATAAAACTTGTGTGGGCGTAAATTTTTCACTCAGTTGGGTAAATACCAAGGAGCACAATTGCTGGATCATATGGTAAGAATATGATGAGTTTTGTAAGAAACCGCCAAACTGTCTTCCCAAGTGCCTGTACCATTTTGCATTCCTACCAACAATGAAGAGAATTCTGTTGCATTTGGTGGTGGCAAGAACTAGCTGCTAATAGATAACCCCTGCATTGTATAGATAACCATTGCTTTGTGTACACCAAAACTGATTGTTCCCTCAGGCATAACAGCTAACTGCAAATATCTGCTTCTGTACGTGCTTGCTTGCTCGCATACCCTTAACCCAAATTCCTTAACAGGGGCTAAGACAACTCTATAAGCAATGCCCTCCCCTCCCCCCCAGCTCAGGGCTGCTCTCTCCTCTACATAGGATGGGACAGTCGCCGCGCGGCTAATAAAGCTCCCTTAATTTGAACCCAGTTCAGAGTCTGAGTCTGGTCTGTCTCGTTGGTCTACAACAGTGGCATCAGTGTTTTGGATTCTGGCGATTTTAATAGGTGTGTAGTGCTTGCTGTCTTATTGTTGTTTTCATTTGCAACTTCCTAATGACATCTGATGTTGAGTACCTTTTCATATGCTTACTTTATATAGGTAGATAGATAGATAGGTAGGTAGGTAGGTAGATAGATAGATAGATAGACAGACAGAAATGTCTTCCTTGATGAAAAATTTGTTAAATCTTTTGCCCACTTAAAATTGTGTTGCTAGTTCTCTTATTGTTGAATTTTAAGAGTTCTTCATGTATTTGGGACAACAGTTCTCCATCAGATATGCCTTGAAATTTTTTCCCTTTACTTTTTTCCCGTTGGTTGGGATCCTTAATTGAAATATTTTCCTTTATAGCTCTGAATTAACTGGCATCCCACTACAACACTGTTGATGTCATGAGGGTGGCAGCCATCAACATTGCAGCCCACAGACTAGGCAGACCCCAGCATCTCTCCCTCTCTCTCTCTTTTATTAATCCTCACCTGAAGATTTTTATCCATTTATCTTCAGAAAGAGTGGGAGGGGGGGAGAGAGAGAGAGAGGAAGAGAGAGAGAAACATCGATGTGATAGAGCCACATCGACTAATTGCCTCCTGCACGACCCCAACCAGGGCCAGGACGAACTGCAACCAAAGTACGTGCTCTTGACTGGAATCAAACCCGTGACTCTGGTCCACAGGCTGATGCTCTAACCAATGGAAAAAATCGATTAGGGCACTTTTTTTAAAAAAAATATTTTTTTATTGATTTTAAAAAGAGAGGAAGAAAGAAAGAGAGAGAAAGAGAAACATAGAAGTGAGAGCAGAACATCTATCAGTTGCCTCCTGCATGCCCCCTACTGGAGATTGAGCCCACAACCTGGCATTTGCCTTTATCAGGAATCGAACTGGGAAACTTTTGGTGCACTGGACTGCACCCAACCAACATGAGCGACACCAGAGCCAAGGTAAAGGTAACTACCACATTTGTCAGGCAATGTTCACAATCTCATCAAAGGTGATCTTTCCACTGTGCTTAATGATTGTTGTTATTTTTCTTCTTTCTGTCTCCTGGGGGTTCTTTGAGGGCTTTGATGGTCAGGTTAGAGGCAAAAGGCACTACCTCAATCTGGGCCTGTCTGCTCTGAATGGTCAGTTTCACTGTAATCCTCGGGCCCTTTCAATCACCAGTTGCTTTGGCAATATCATCACCAACCTTTGTTGGAGACAGATCCAGAGGGCCAGTCGTGGGGGCCAGGGCAGACGTGACACCAGCTTCTCAACCACTGCACCTCGGCTCTATGACTTTGATCTCATTGGGGTTGACCTTGGAAGGCATAATCTGGAGGCAGCTAGTGTCAGATGACTCTGGATTCTTATCTACCAAAGAAAGTTACACCTAGGCCCTCTCCAAGCCAAAAGCCAAAAGCTCCATCCATTTACTTTTAATCTATTTGTGTCTTTATATTTAAAGTGAGATTCTTTTAGACAACATTATATTTGGGTCTTATATTTTGATTCACACTGAAAATCTCTGTCTTTTATTTGGTGCACTTAGACCACTGACATTTAATGTAATTATTGCTGCCCAGCCTGTGTGTATCAGTGATTGAGGGTGGACCCATGCACCAAGAGGTCACCAGTTCGATTCCAGTCAGGACACATGCCCAGGTTGTGGGCCAGATCCCCAGTGCAGGGCATGCAGGAGGCAGCCAGTCGATGTTCTCTCTCATTGATGTTTTTATCTTTCTCTCCCTCTCCCGTCCTTTCTCTCTAAATTAAAAGAAAATTATTGATATAGTTGGATTACTATTTATCATATTTATTACTGTTTTCTACTTGTTGCCCTTGTTCTTTGTTACCACTTTTGTTTTCCCCTCTTTTTTTCTGCCTTCTCTGGTAATTCCATTTTCTTTTTCTTAGCATATCATTATATTTGTATACTTTTTTTTTTTTAACCCTCACCTGAGAATACATTTCCATTGATTTTTCAGAGAGAGTAGAAGGGAAAGAAGGAGGGAGAGAAAGAAACATTGATGTGAGAGAAACACATCAATGGTTGTCTCCCACAGGACCCTAAATGGGGCCAGGGACCGAACCTGCAACCCAGGTACCTGCCCTTGACTGGGAATTGAACCTGTGACCCTTTAGTGTGCAGGCTGATGCTCTAACCACCGGCCAGGGTCAACTTATTATTTTAAAGTTTCACAATTTCAAAATTGGAAAAATCAGAACAGTGAATACCTCTGTGTCCTTTACCAAATGTACCAATTAATATTTTTTGTCAGGTTTGCTTTCATTCTCTTTCTCTCTCTCTCTATTGCTCTCTCTCTCTATTTCTCTCTCTCTCTCTCTCTCACACACACACACACACCTTTTATGAGCTATATAAAAGGAATTTCAAATATCATAAAGTTCATTTTTCTTCAGCAAGTGTATCCTACGAACAAGGGCATTTCCTAACTGTTACCATCTGTCCTTAAGATAATAATGTTCAGCTTGAAGATTCATAATAGATATTTAGATTTTATGTATCTTCAAGATTTTTCTGACATACGTATGAAAACTATCATAAATAGTGTTTGTTTTCCCTATAACACAGGGACATTCATTGAGGTTAATAAATTAGGCCCTGCCTACCTCACTGGCTGCATCGTTAAAAGGCCTGCTATCTGCAAGGCACTCAAAGAATATAAAAAATGGGGTTCTCTCTCTTTTAAAATAATTTTGGCTATCACTAAGGTCACACATGT